TGCCGCTTGTATGTCAGAAAGTTGAGACATTGTTACCGAAGATTGCAGAGATGGTTGAAAAAAAAAAAAATTGATAATTTGTTGTTGGATTATGAAATGAGCAAATAAGCTAGCAGGTGGCTTAAACACTTAGATCAATGTATAAACAGGATAGTAACTGTAAGTGTTATAAGAATAAATAATAATTTACTGTATTTAGATGTAATTTAGGTATAAATAATTTAAATAAATTTAGAGCTTTTGAAAACTATGTATTGACTTTTTCAACACCTACCCACGAAAAAAAAATTTATCTAATTGCGGTCTCCACATGCATGCTGGCACGTGTCGGCTCCAGCGACTATCAGTCCGCCTAGAGAGATGACCGGCCCACCTCCAATTCAGCGTACTGATTCTCCGTTAGATGTCGGTTACTCCAGTTCTCTGTCGAATTGTTTCGTTTCGAATTTTATGGACTAAAGAAACTTGTGAACCAGTCCAACGGTGACTGTTTACGTGTCGGCTCCGTATGTCATTACTGGTAACTATGGTGTATGTCCAATCTCACTTGGGATGTTCATCCCCAAATCGAAGCGTTCAAAGGTATGTAATACCTGTTTCATGGTCGCATTAATTCTTGTACGCATGCATACTTTTTACATATAATTATATCACGTGAGTAAACGAACAGCTCAAAGAAAAACAATTCACACATACAAAGAACACAGGGCAAGGCTTTCGTTAAGCGTAAAAAATTTAAACCTGTTTCAATATAAGGATAAAATGGAACAAACAATACAATTGTTATTATGGATATATTAATACATTGTAGCTTTGTCACAGTCACACGATACAGGTATAACCGTAAGGGTATATTTTTATTTTAAGATGTGACTAGTTATAAGAAACTCAGTTTTATAATCTGCTGTTAAAAATAATATATCTATAAAGTTACGGTATACGATTGTGTAGGTATGCAATCCTCATACAAAGATAAGTTATGCAACGGTAAATTAAAACTCACAACTCACGTCACTTCTAATGATATTTACGACTTAAGCATGGACAGAGTTGAAAAGCCAAAGTCAAATGCTGCTTAGGCCTGATCATCGCTACAGCACAAGGGTTCGTCAACTTACGGTCTACGAAAAAACTTTTCAACTCTCTCCCTTCTACAATGCAATCACCACTGGAATCACTGGCAACTTCAACCACAGGATCGCAGCATTCCAGCACCGCATGCAGCCTCAGCTCACTGGAAGTAGCGAAATATGGTTTAGACTCACTAGAACTAGCCGAATCCAGTTCCAACTAATTGAAAGTAAGAGACACTAAACTGACTGGACCTATTTACGCCTGGTATTGGCACGCTCCACAAGAGGCTACGTACAGCTGAATCATTAGTTCTCTAGTTTTAGTTTTTATATTTGCGACAGTAATGGGTTTACCCACTCATGTATCCGACTCTGTTCGTCTTGGGCATGGGCGGATATAACGAGCTTAGTCAGAAGGGACTTTAGTCTTGCCTCCTATATATTTAACTAGCTGACCCCCGCAACTTCGTCTGCGTCTCTCAAAAGTAATAAATTTTCTCCGTTTTTGAAACATTCTTCATTGGTGCTCCACTCCTATTGGTCTTAGCGTGATGATATATAGCCTATAGCCTTCCTCGATAAATGGGCTATCTAACACTGAAAGAATTTTTCAAATCGGACCAGTAGTTCCTGAGATTAGCGCGTTCAAACAAACAAACAAACAAACAAACAAACAAACTCTTCAGCTTTATAATATTAGTATAGATATAATATACTAAGGGGAAAAATCCACGATAGCAATATATTAGGATTGGTAGGCATGTGTGTACCGGACGGGTAAGTGTGCCGACGACCCCGTCCGCCATTGTTGCCGGTGCCGCACGGACGCTAAAATTTGCTAAGCGCAGCGCCTCTAACGCGTGCGTTGCGCACCCTGAACCTCATAGCCACAGATATTGACTTATTTAGCTGTACACTGAGTGAGTTCTCAAAGACAGCATTATATATTATATGTTACAAGACACAAACGTAGAAGTGTAAAACAAGTATTTTTGTAATAGTTACACTATCGCATTAGGATATACCTGTAATGATAGTAGTAAGTGTGGATACTAATAAATAAATAAATAGTTTACTTTCGATCTTGGAGTGGGATAATGTGGCAACTTCCACCTAAATAAAAACGCATCGCCAATTTACCTCGCAAAGACAAGATGAATTACGTGGTAACTACCGATCTTACATCACTCAATGAAAGTTAGCGCTCCGATCTCGCGTACATATATAGAATTTCCCTACGTCAACCATGTGACTGCGGTCCGACAGGTGTAATGACTGAGCTGGATTGTAGAATTCTCCTTTTCTGTTTGAATGATATATCACCAGTTCTCCATTAACATCCTCATTTTGCCGATTATATTTAAGGGTTTTGCATAGAGATTTGCAAAGTAAATGTCTGGTGATGCTACTGATGAATGGAAGTATTTGTACAGGTATTTTTGTAGATTTGGATGTGTTTTTAACATTTGCTGCTTAGTTGTACCTATTTACTGTTGTCATACTTTGACGTTGTACTGAAATCATGTTGTTTATGACTTAAAAAAAGATTTATTAATAAATAATGTATGAATGTTAGAAGGCAACATACTAACAATTCCAAGGACAATCAAACTAATTACTGCTTAACAGTTTATAGTCACTGACAATATTAAAATTGCGTTTATCCACCACTTCGTCGCCCTAGTATTATTTGTTCTATCGACCAATTTATAGAAATTTAACTTTAAATGCAGTATTGTTAAGACTTAAATTTCTCACCTGTTGGTTAAAGAAGTTCTAAAACTTTTTGCTTTTAAAACAACAAAAAAACCATTTGAATTTTATTTGTGATACAATACTGCAATAAAATTTGTGTGCTTATTTGTTCTATGTCCTACATCGTAAGAGGTATTGGGAGCTTGAGTGTTCTATGTCCACTCTATCCACCAATCACAGCCCACAAAGTCATGTTCGCCATTTTGTATGATTTGGCCTTTCCTGACGATATCACAATAGACGCTGAAAATATTGATAAAATCATTTATTTTATTGTGTTTTGTGCTTAGATATTTTTTAGAAAAGTACCTAATTATGTCTGGAATATATTACAAAAGTAAAAATAAACAGACGCAAGCTCAAACTAAAGAGAGTACTTTTTAATTTACCCTCAAGTCCGTTATGATTTTGAAACGGAATGATGTTGTTTGTTGTTTCTTGATTATTTTAAATTTTCTTTCATACAAACCGTATTTTGACAATAACGTATATAACAAAAAAAAATGGTTAAATATTTATAATTAATATTATTTAACGGGAATTAACGCGATCTCTTATTTAGGGTATTACATACCTCTGGTTTGCCTGACGTTTCGACCAGGCTGACTGGCTCATCGGCGCACGCCCTCCGTCGTCGAACCCGTGAAGTAGAAGGCTCTTCATCTACCCGCACATTTTCGATATGGTTTTTGTGTCGCCATGTACCGTCACATACCACACTAACAGTGTCCCTATTCTGTAAGCAAACCGATGAGTCCCTATTCTGGTGTTTAACCGATTGCGCAGAAAAGCGAGGTGGTATGTTTTTTAACACTGGATTCCACGCTGTAGATAATTGAAAGTTTTATGCTTTTTAATCTCAATCGCTTCACGTAAAACTCTTGAGTAAAAGTGACGTTCGGTGGAGAGGACTTGCGTGCCGTGAAATTCAATCCAGTGGTTGATGCCTGCACAAAGAGCATCAAAGAGCATATCGATATGCTCTTTGACCCTTTCTGCAATAGTTCGCTTAGTTTGGCCTATGTATGAGCTTCCACAGCTGCAGTCTATTTTATAAACACCCGGAGTTTGTAGTGGCAATATATCCTTCGGTGTGCCGACGATGTTGTGAACCTTTATGCCTGGTGTGTATACTGTCGGAATGGAATATTTCTTTAGCACAGACCCGATCTTGTCCGTAACTCCCTTGACATAAGGCATATAGGCCGGTTGCCTGTTCACTTCTGGATACTTGCGTCTTATTTTCGGTTGCTTCCGTCCTCCTTTCACTTGATATATGTTACCTTTGAGTACCTCCTGAACATGTTTTAGCTCCTGTTCTAAATGTTCAGGGTCACAGAGATCGTAAGCTCTGTTTTTGAGTGAAGTCATAACAGATTGCAAGTGCCGGGGGTGATGATGAGACGTGGCGTGTAGGTATCTGTCCGTATGAGTAGGTTTACGGTACACACAGTGTGACAAGGACCCATCCGATCTCACGGCGGTGTGTAGCAGTCTCAAGAAAAGTAACACGTACAGCCATGCTTTCACGTCAGTCACTGCCGGCGGACAGCGACGCACTAGCTAATTGGTTGAATACACCCCCGCCCCGCGTCCCGCAAACCATCAGGAGGGCCAAGTTTACGGCGGTTTAACTATAGTGGCTAACTCCACATTCGTAATTTCGTTTGTGCATTTTTGTTCTATCTCCATACAAAATCTGTAAAATAAGGTATATTTAGTTACCATCAGTTATTATTCAGTCAATTTTATAATCAATTCATTGGTAACTCATGTATTGAGAAATAATTTCAAATCTTTAAATGGCTTTTATTTTCAATAGAACAAAAAAAACTTCGTCCTGTTAAATTTACCCAATGGTAGATAGGACAAATAAGCACTTACGCGACGAGTTGTACTGATTGAAAAGATGACCATCTTAATGTGATTTATTACCAAGCACAGTACCCTACTGTGCTTGGTAATTTCCTTTCCAAGGTAAAAACCAAGGATTACCATTAGGTGAATTTCCGCCTCTAGTCTCTGTCTTCTAGTATAGGCATTAATGAGCCAAATAAAATATTGAAAACATTTCTTACATGATAATATAGAATTGTTTTACTGTAAAACCATTGTACGCCTTTACATTAAGTTAAATGTAAATGTTTGTATTAAGATAACATATATTTTCAGGTTGCAAATCCTACATTTGCCAACTGCAGTCATCTGAATTGATTCTGTAAGTGAATAAAATGTACATATATTATTTACTTTATTTTTGTTACACAATAATGTATTAACCCAGATTAAATTATAATATTAGGTCTTTACCTATGAAGATGGAGATTTGTATGAAAATTTTAAAATATATTTTTTTTTGTAATTTTTTTATTTTAGCTAATCAATGTACTTGCCTAAATTATCTATACAATTTTGCCATTTTGATGGCAGTTGGTTTATCATTTTACTGTAGAAATCTGCTGGACGGGAGGGAATGAAGTCAGGGAAAGCGTTTTGTACTGCCTCTCGGGAGTTGAAAAAAATTGACAAGATTTTGAAAAAGTAGAAATCTGTTGGGGAAAGGTTCTGTTAGTACGGTGGGTGACGAAGAGCTTCCTGCTGTTATTCTTGTAGCTTTGCGATGGTCTGTCGTGAAGTGTGAGGTCGCGCGTTATCGATGAGAAGCAGTGGGGAAGAGAGATAGACCAGTCATGGTTGTTTAATTGCGAGCTTCTCTATCATTGTTTGTAATTCTTGGCAACATACATCTACCTTCACAGTTGTGCCCTTCGGTAAGAACTGTGATGTACGAGCCCGGTTCACCAGACAGTCACCATCATCTTCCTATGGGTAATCTCTTTTTAGCGCACTGATTAGGTGCTGTATCCGGGTTCATCAACTAAGACAAACGCTTACGGTTGTCTTACAGGATCCACTTTTCATCGCAGGTAACAATTCGATTCCGAATTCCCTCGTTTTTATGCTCTATGCTAAGTCTCGCTAATGGGCGCTAAGTTCGTGTGGTACCCACTTATCTAGCTTTTTTGTCTTTCCGAATTGATGCAAGTGATTCAATATTGTTTTGACCCAAAGTCCGCAGCAAGCTCAGCCGTAGATTAAGTTGGAACCGCTTCTACTATCAACTTAAATTCGTCGTTGTCGACTACTATAGTCGGCCGACCACGAGGCGCAAAATTTACGGATCTAAAACAATTGAACCAAAAAGAGACCGTGTTTATGCAAGCAGTGTTAGCCCCGTACACGTCGTTAATGTTTGGATGTGTTAATTTTCAGTTTATACCTAATACTACTTAAAACAAATGACTGAATTGCGCGCCAATCCACAGACAATGAAATCTGAAAATGCTGTTTTTTTTTAATCTCCGACTTCACAGGTAAAGTATACCTGTTATAAAAAAATGTTAAAGCGTTTTTTTAATAAATACTAATCTTATTTGGTTTGTTTAATTGTTTGTCTGATTTTGATTATATGTTTGTTATTGGATGTTCATTGGGGCAGGTTTTGTAACTTAACACAATGACAGTTTGGACCGGGGCATAAACGCAGGTGAATCTGCGAAAAACAGCTAGGTATGGATTTAAAATTCATTAACCTATAACCATTTTTATTTGAAAACAGCAACCTTGTTAACTTATTGAATTTGACCTTTTATTACTAAAAAGATATTTGGGAATTCTATTTTATTAGGTGGCGTTGTTAATTCTCTCGATTGTTCTTAATAACTTTGTATAGAAAATAATTACTTTGACGATATTTTTTTTCTGATCTACCAGGCATCGCCTAATGTCTACGCACAATCATTAAGATGCTTTGTGATATAATCAGTACAATTGACAATCTTTGTTCCTACTGTTCACCGAACCGAACTTTTGTCACGTTAAACCTATATTGCAATAAATCAGAGATATTTATTGGTGTGATCTTGGGTACATAGGGTCTTAAAAAGAATACAATGTTTCCTCTAAAACCTGCCATTTGACTTAAACACTTTTAATCAAATAAACAATTTTTTTTTCAAGTAAACTGTTATACATTTTATATTTATTTCTAGGGCAGTTCGTCAAGCTGGCGGCCCTTCAGGATGCGGCTTGTGCGCCCTCGCTAGCACCGCGAGCAACTCGCCACGTCGCTACACTTACAGGTCAGTTTGAACAATATAAATATGTCAATTAAACAACTAATGATTATACAACTAATAACTATTGAATATGGGTATAAATAAACACTCTTTTAGCCTTTTAGTGTGCATTTTAATCAGGATAATTTGAATTTATGATTAGTTTGTAAAGAATGTCACGTCTGTTATTAAATATAATATTATAAACTGAGACTAATGTGGATACTATTGGTCACCTACATAAAAAGGAATCGTTTTAAGGCTTGCTAAATTTGTATCTTTTGTCTTAAGGGTTTATAACTTGGTAGTTGTGATTATGAATGGGGTGAAATCATTGTGGATGCGTAAGATTGGCTATGTGCCAAAGTATGGTTATTCTGGGCGGGCGGCGCGCGCGCACCACCAGTCGTTCGCGTATCGCCGCGTGTCCGCCTTCGCTGGTACATAAATTTTTGTGTAACTGAATTATTTATTATAACAATTGTACTTTATTCCATTAATGAATAATGTTATTATTTATTCTGTATTGATGATCCATGATAGGAGTATGTTAAAATTTATGTTCTGAGGAGCTATACTCGTAGAATAAACATTGAACCCCAAACGACATTTAGATTATTACTAATAAGTAAATTTTTAATAAATAAAAAGTGGCCAAGAGCATACTATGTCATAGATGTTCGATTTCCATTTATAACTTGAGTTTATTATATATATATAATATATAAGTTTTGTAGACTTTTAACTATCTATTGTGTTGATGATGTAATTTAGTGTTTTTTATTTATTTATTGCCAAGGTCAGCTGATGCCAACTTGAAAATTCAACCTAAGACAAGAATGAAAGGTATAAGATATTTAAACATTTTGTCTTGAATGTCATACATTTAATTTGTGAACTTTAATATTATTAACGATCTTAAAGTCCATCTTAATCAATTTTGAAGAAGTAGTCTGTTTTCATACTATATTGCTTTCACTTTACCTTTGACATAAAACATTAAACAGATGATATGAAAATTACTAACATTTTCCGTAGAAGACGTAAAAAATCTAAATATGAAAGCTGCAATCAATGTTTATTGTTTAACTTTAATAGTATAATATAAAAATATCTTGAAATTGTTAGAGTATCTAATAGTTCACCGTATGCACGATTTATTGACGCAAATAAATATGTTGTTCACCTGTCGTTATCTGCTAATAATAGAAACCAAAAAATGAAAGTGCACTGAAAGTGAATCTACTCTAAAGAAAACGATCCAATTAATATTTTATGTTCATCATAGACATGTTATTCAATGAGCCGACAAAGTTATATAATCGAACTTACAATTGGAATCTATTCAATGCTTTACGTGAGATTCTATGGTATTTCTTTCACTCTATGCGGTCAAACATGTACAAATCACTTAATCAGTATAATACTCGTTGGTAGAAATGATCTGGTTGTAACCACGTTAGGCCCTTATTATTACTGTAAGTGGCAAGGTCATATTGCGTCAACTAGTCAGCAGGGCAGTTGTGACGGAGGTGACCCCACCATGGCAGCGATGCCAACGTATTGACGACATCCTTATTTTTATTGGGTGTACAAATTAGTACGTCGACCGAACCGCCTCCGTTACTGAACTTTGTGGCCTCGCAATGTGCCTATTTACAAGGCTCTCTATGTGAATTGTATAGTGATTTTTTTATTCACTCTGAACGATTTAGGAAGTAACTATTTGCCAACCAACATTTGTGAGACCTGTAACATTTGAAAGGTTAGAACATGATCTGTGTGCCTTAGTTGATACACACATACGGGATAATAAAAGAGTTAGAATCAAGTAACAATAAATAAGTAAAGATTGTTCTTCATATGTGTAGTCTAAATCGGGATCTTACTTCGTTCGTCGTTGATAAGTTTGGTGACTGACCGATTGCCCTCATTTGTTTTAAAAGTGGCCACCCGGTGATGCAAATATGGCATTGACTATGTTTTGCTTTAACCTCATTGGCTGTTATTTAGCATATTCACAAGTATTGCGATATATACCCGTCCTATGTTTAGTCGTGACTTTTAGTCAGGCAACTTTTGCAAGCAACTTGTAAAATAATTTTTCATTATTTTCAAGTTTTCAGTGAATATTGAGGCAGAGATGAATTTGGCATATCTAATTTGAGTCAATCAGTTTAAGAAGTGATAGTTTTTACTACTGGTTATTTACAATTAATTAACCATTATTCTAAAATGGGTCATTAACTGTATCTAATGTTTTAAGTACAGTTAACCTTTAATATAGTGCAAAATATTATAAATTTGCAAGTTTTTATGGCGCGACTATTGTATTCACACCGTTTCAAAACGAAGTAAAACCTCTCTGTATCTTAGAAGAGTACCGTTCGTACTTTTCCCTTTAATAATCGATCGTTGCTGTTCACCTGCGTTATCGGATTTAATGACGTTGTTTAACATTATCTCCTATCTGCAGCTCATTACATAGTCGATTGTTTGGTTGATATACATACATATAGATGGTGCACGTACGCACCATATTTTAAGTGAAAGTGATGTTTATCGAGTGCCCTGTGAAGTGAATAAATATAAATAAAAAAAAAACAAAAGAAGTTTAATAAATAATATGTTGGATTGTATATGTGTCCAAATATGAATACGAGGAAACCGAAACCTCGACCTAAGCGTCGAGATGAATTAACTGACAGACAAAAGGACTTATTGCTGGCCTGGAGTAATGGTGAGCTATCTTTTAATTCCTTCGTTCATTACATCAGGTTTAATACTGGTACACTCTCTTTAAAAAATGTTTCCCTCATCTAAGACTCTTGAGCAAAATGAAAACCTGTTTTTTACCAATCAAGAGAATTTGCTTTCAAATCCGGGATTTGTGTTGTCACCAAACAAATCATTTAAAAATCGTGTTTACAATACAAAGTACACAGTATATTAATTACAGTAAAAGACAATCTTAAGCAGAATTATTTAGTTATATTTTATTTACACATCGAGTGCAACTATTTATACCTACTATAATAATGAAAGTAGATCCATGTAAACAAAAAGATAGTTGTTTAATGTCTATTTAGAGACAAATACCGGTTTTCCTATTTTACCTGTCTCATTTAACCCCCGTGTTACATTATGTCCATACATAACATTGCCGAGAAACATGTAATTAATTACTTTAATGAATTCAGAGAGTGATTCAGCTAATAATAAACACTATTGTTTATATTTGCTCATTTACTCATCCTTAAAGAGCTCTTTGGATTATGTCCAATGGGTACGTGAAAATAAATATTGTCTAGGAAGTGACATCTACAGGAATAGGCAACTTTTGTTGCGAACTACGAACGAAGAATAATATATAAATACTTCTTTACGTAATTAAAATATATGTATGACATATAAATAAAACATTAATTATCAGATAACAGCAAGCAGTCACGAGTATCGAATCAGTTGATTTGATTGTCGTCACATAATTAAACGGCCATAGACACAAAGGAGTATTTATAAACATAGATTCTATTACAATTGTCTTTTTAGACACAAGTTACTGGGAAAGTTATGTGCAGTGTTGATGAGTTGATAGTCGATACCAGTTAACATCTTAAAGAAGAAATAGATATTTTCACTTTCCATGTGGGACTGCAAAATATAAAAAAAATGATCAAACAACCGTTAAAAGGGCGTAACTCTTAATAGACGTTGAACGTGCTAAGAATGATCTCTTCAATGAGTAAAAAATATGATTTTTAAATTGTGATATTTAGGTGATAGGATGAGCTTTTCAACGAAAATTTTCTTTCCACTCCAGACATCTTTCAAATCAAATCAAATTTATTTTTGTAAAAAACTGTTACAATGGTTTCATGAAATATATAGTTAAGTTTCAAATGATTCTACCCTAAGGCATAAAATATATACAATTATTGTTTATTAAAACCAAGATCGACATCGAAACATTTAAATAAAATTAGATTACAGAATAATTCAAACGAATGTAATGTCCCTCTTAAAGTTATAATGATAAAGATTAGTTATTTATTTAATAATAGATTATTTCAATGTCACTCCCTGAATTATTACTAAGTATTATATTAACAAATTAATTATATTAACAAGACACATACATAACCGCTCCATTACTTGACGTCACTGTGGGGTCTCAAGATTGGAAAGATCATCTTTTATTTCTTCTAGTAGTTCTAGTAATCTTACTGTTATTATTTGTTTTAATAATGTCTCTCACTGACGTAATCCTTGCAGTAAATCATTATATTCTTAATAACACCATTCATATTACTCACTATAGCTAAAATGCACGTTATATGTAGGGTGAGTATATTTCTTGAGTGCATGCATGGCCCCGCCATTGGTCGGTCACCCCCGTCGGCATTGAGCGGCGGCGGGAGGCAGATATCGATTCTGTCTGCAAGCCTCACACTAAATACGGAAAGCAGACTCTACGTGCTATGTATGAAACGGTACTATACAGAATTAAATGCTGCATTGCGCTCAAATTTTCAAGGCACGACTTTGTATGGAACTTGTAACTTTCCAGCTTACTGGTGTTTTTCGAAAGTGTTCAATAAATATGCGATGACAATTGTTTAAGAAAGCATATTTCCAATTCAATGTTTCTTTTGTTAACAGAAGTGTGCAATAGCGAGGAGGTGCCAGAAGTTGAGATTGTCAGTCTTCTACAGGAACACATACCAAAATATCGCTTGAGAGCAGACAGTCTCACACAATTTGGAGGTATTTAATTTCATGCTTTAAGCTACTTAGATCAGTCACCATTTTCCTCATCATCCTCGTTCATTTTTGCATGTGATTTTCATGACTCAAACTATCAATGACATCACGCGATGTTGGTCTTTGAGTGATTTTTGTTACGCTATTAAGAATCAATTTTCATAAACGCTTTTTAAGCTTTACTTGGATGGTTATAAAAATATTAGGTTCACCGACATTATTGATTAGTTTTTACTTTATTTCACTGAATTTATGTCAAAAAGATGTTAAAATTTTATAGCTAATGTTCTCCTTAATGAAAATTACCACGTCGTTGACTTTGAAGTGTTAAAAATTTGTTGTTTATATTAAGGTTTAACTCAAAGTCAATGCTCACCGGAGATCTTCAGGGTCGTATCAAGGGTAAAGTTGACATTCAGTCTTGAACTGAATAGAAAATCAATAGTCGCGGTTGCCGAGGTCGTGTGATCCAATCACCGAGACTTTACCCTACTATAATATAAAAATAAAATTCTTAAAAACGTTAAATTAATTTTAATTAAATATGTTGAGTCTTGATCAATCAAAAGAATGATAAAATATGTCAAGAAAATTACATATTATACGTAAGGCTTTACTTTGTATCAACAACTCATAAAATATAATTAAAATTGTATTGTTATACTTACGACATGTAAAAGTTTC